TTAATTTTTACCTTTTTTTAGGCACGCCTATGAAACTAATTAAATTGTATTGCTAGGCGTTTTCATACATGTTCAACTGACTTCGGAAAGACTATATATCTTGTAACATTCTTTAAAAAATGACCTACGATATATTTACGCCTGTTTTTTTTTTTTTGGAATTTTATGACATTTTATGACATGAACTTGTGGTCATTAATTGTTAGTAACTCACAAATAAATAACTATCAGTACCATTATCACATTGTAACTAAACTCGATGGGCAGAGGAGGTCCTGTATTCTGACATCAACGGTCACCCGACATTAATCCAATTGATTATTTTGCCTGGAGTCGTATGAAGCAGCGGGAACACTCTTCTCCAGTAAATACAAGGAGGAATAATATAATGCATTCAAAATTCCCCAACATCCATTACGCCAGTGCATTTATCAAATTCAAGGTCATTATTGCGTAGATGCCAGTTATGTGTCGAACAGGACTTCCAATTTGTGCATCCACTTTAATTTCTGCGTACTACTACATATATTCTTCTGTAGTTAGAGTTTGTTTTTAAATACCTGTTTTCAAAAAAATAACAACAAATTTATTTTTATAGATGTTAATAATAAACATTTTTCAATTCAATTAAATTTTTTTGTAATCTTTATGTGCAAAAGGGTTTCACGCTATTTATTCAGAACCCTTTTATTTTATGACAATTACATAAGAACAAGTTTTCGTGTAAAATAGAACAGCGACGTCAAAATTCTTGTGAAATTTCAAAAGAACTCGTAGTGAATCGTTTGTAGGTCATTTTTAAAGGGCATTATGTCGCCACAAGACATACCCAATTTGGCTTCGTCAGTACTTAGGTACTGTTTTCTAGATAGGTATCACAAAAAAGTTTTAAAAAATACTTCTATGTATCTATGACCAGTTTCTATCGATACATAGGTAAGTCAATTATTATAAAAGACAAATGTTTAAACATTCTTTATATTCTTTTAAATCTCTAAACATTCTCACGAATTTAGGGAACTGCAGAAAAAAAAATTTTAATAACACTGGGTATTTTCCAAGAAATTCAAGCAACAACAAAAATGTACTCCTAACCCTTAATATTAATATTCTCTAAGGATATACATTTCACAAGTTGTTCATTCGAGATAGTTTCCTGTAGAAACTGTAGATGTTATACAAGTTATAACATTTTAGGTGCAGCTTGTATACCCTTAATTAAAGTGCATCTTTTAATTCCGTGGAATTTGAATTATCTCCTATTTGGAGAAAAAAAAATGAAAAGGATTTTTTTATTTTTCAAAAAAAATTGTCATAAATATTCAGGAAAACAAAGAAAAATCCCACAAAATATGAAAGTACCCAGCATCTTCATAAAAACACCTAATCACCGTATTTGGATTCATTGACAATCTGGGAATATGGAACTCCTATATGACAAAGTACGTCTGAAATGACTAATGCCATGTATTATTCTTAGAAATATTCTGTTAAAAAAAATACTTATATGGATAGATTTTATTGACTAATTGTCGTCAATTACATTGGATGAAATAGGTCAAATTACAAATGAAATTTTGCTTACAATTGGATAAAACATATAAAACATTGGATAACAATATTTACAGAAATAGTTTAAACGACATTTCATTCATTCTATAGCCCAAACAGTCGAGCCGTACCAAAGCTGACCTCAGTCTGTTACTGTCGGCCAAACTCTGAAAAGAGCAATCGGTGTGAATTCGCAGTAGTGTGACTTTAGTGTGAGCAAAAGTGTGACTGAATTTATATCGTATAATCTAGAGATAAAGTGAATTAGAATGCAAATTTCCGATTTTTTTCACCTCATTCTACCTGTTGAATAGACTATACCATTGTTTAGTTAGTTATTGTTATTAATTTTTGAAAAATTTTTTTTTTCATTAATAACAGACCAACAAAATTTAACTTTTTTTGGAAGCAGAAACTTGAACATATATTTCCGAAGGATTTAGGTGCGCTGATTCCGAATCTGGCAGCAGAATTGCTCTATCACGTCAGGTTTTTGAGATATCCTAACCTAAAAGTGCAAAAACACTGTTTTTCGTCATATTTGAGGTTATGTAGTAATGCCATCTATTCTTNCCTCAAAGTCGGATATTATCCTCCCTAAATATAAAGTTTAATAATATCAATATCGAGAAAAGTAATACTGTTTAGATTGTATTTTATCATATCTATCTAACTTTTTGGTAGACAGTTTAATAGAATAAGATTTTTGTGCGAAATCTGGATAAAACGTTGTATTAGAATCACATTTATTTTTTGTGTGAAGGTGTCACAATATACTAAATTTTGTTGCGAAGTACCTACACGTGTTTATATCCAACTGGAGATTTGACAAAAACATATTTGTAATATTGTCTAGACTCGCCATCAAAATGTTTTGAACAGCAAAACAAATGTTTTTTAATGAACACATAGATTAAATCTGCGTCCATCGCCCTCCACTAAGCCGCAGGTATTTCTGAAATTGTAATATTGTAAAGAATAATTCCAAATATTTGGAATTTTCACCGGTAAGAACGACGGTGACAACATTTTTACCATTAAGGCGATATTTCGCATTGTATTAGCTATGTCCTATACAAATTTAGTTTCGTGCAACTCTCTCGGTTTCAAAAATACAATACCTATGTATGTTTTCAGCCACGAAAATATCATATATGTACTTAATCTAGAAATAAAGTGAATTGAAATGCAAATTTTCGATTTTTTTCACTTCATTTTAGTGTCGAATAGACTAGAACATTGTTTATTTAGTAATTGTTAATAATTTTTCAAAAATTTTTATTTTCATAAATAGTTTAATTATTGTAAAATGTATTTGTCAATATTTATGGATAATATTTTTAAATTAATATTTTTATACAAAAGAGTGCAATATAAACAGCAATTTACAGAAAAGGAGCCCAAAATCACAACTTTAAAAAAATTCGAGATACTGGGAAATATCGATAATATCATTTTATCAAGGGGTATTTTTTTCTTAAAAATATAGACTTTGAACTTCAAAATCCTTTTTTACATTTTCTCTAGCCATTTTTCGAAAAAAAAATTTTTTTTCAGTGGCATTTTTTACCTAATTTTTTTTTCAAACCTAATTATGTCATTCGATTTCTTAGAAAATGTTATCCCAGTTTTGATAAAAATACGCTGTTTTCGTTAATAGATAAAGAAGACATACCTAAAGATTCAAAGTTGGCAAAATCACAATTTCCACTAGTGTGACCTTTAAGGTAGCTCACCAAAAGTGTGACCTTTGAGGGTTAATATACCTGGGCAACCTATTTTCCAAACAACTACCAGCAGAGGTAGATTTTTGATAACATGTTAAATTGCTTTTCTCCACACAAATTTTTATCTGTTACCTTAAAATTCTCCAATTGATTTTGTCCTTGAAGATATTGTAAACAGCTTAGGGTGGAGAGTTCCTATAGAAAAGCTTTACAAGAAAATAAACACTATCCACCACTGACTACATGCGTTTTTGCGTTTAGATGGAAAAAGATAAGCAACATTCAAATCGTTTTTACGCACACAAAATTTATTAGATACAAATTATTTATAAACTTAAGTAAATACAGTAATATTTAAGACATATAACGACCAAATACCAGGTGTAAATAAACAATATGTGGTGCAAGAATGGGATAGCTTATCCCGTTGTTGCAGCAGTATGTAGTATGGGATAAATAATTTTATAGTTCTATTTATGTTAATTGAAAAATACTTCTATGTATCTATGACCAGTTTCTATCGATACATAGGTAAGTCAATTATTATAAAAGACAAATGTTTAAACATTCTTTATATTCTTTTAAATCTCTAGACATTCTCACGAATTTAGGGAACTGCAGAAAAAAAAATTTTAATAACACTGGGTATTTTCCAAGAAATTCAAGCAACAACAAAAATGTACTCCTAACCCTTAATATTAATATTCTCTAAGGATATACATTTCACAAGTTGTTCATTCGAGATAGTTTCCTGTAGAAACTGTAGATGTTATACAAGTTATAACATTTTAGGTGCAGCTTGTATACCCTTAATTAAAGTGCATCTTTTAATTCCGTGGAATTTGAATTATCTCCTATTTGGAGAAAAAAAAATGAAAAGGATTTTTTTATTTTTCAAAAAAAATTGTCATAAATATTCAGGAAAACAAAGAAAAATCCCACAAAATATGAAAGTACCCATCATCTTCATAAAAACACCTAATCACCGTATTTGGATTCATTGNAGTGGGGCAGTATGTAGTATGGGATAAATAATTTTATAGTTCTATTTATGTTAATTGTACAAATCCCATATTCGCAACAGATGAAAGATCACTTTTAAATCTATCCTAAATCTACAGATATCTATTTTTTTTTCAAAATTATGCACTTGTCTCTTCTTACATCAGGGTGTTCCAATTTCAGTTATGAACTAATGCTTTCCACTACTTGTTTCTTCTATTTGAACATATTGTTTATATGCACCCCTATCAGAGATACATACTGAAATGAAACACTTCTACTTCAGCTGATTGCAACCTTCATATACGTTTTCAAATTCTGAAAAACTGATGGCTGTTATTATGATCAAGTTCAAACTTGCCATAGATAAGTAGTTGACCGTTTCTGTATGGCACATCGTCCTCGAAGCGTTGCTTCCAACGTTCCATTTGCGTCACACGTACTCGACCGAAAAAAAAAAGGAAAACCATAAAAGTAGTTGGACCTAAGGTCGCGCTGCCTTCCTCCTCCGTCTTCTCCCGAACTTCCTCGTCAAATTTCTTTGACAGTCATAGTTGCTAGTCCGCCGTAGGCCCCGTAGTAGTTCTGCGGCCATGTGGGGAGCGCCTTCGCGTGGAGGGGATGGGGACGCATGCCTCTAGCGACGGGAAGGAGGAAGGGAACACGAGCAAGGAATCAACGAGCGGGGAACAGCGCTGCGTTTCACTTGCCCGCCTGACGTTCAGTCGGTTTTGACGTGGTAGACGCGCGCGACAGTGATAACACCTTTTTATCTGCTCTTGGTGCAGGCATCCCAAAAAACAAGCGAGTGTGGGACCGCTACGGTTGCGGGTGGCAGCGACTCTTACCTGCCAGTGCTATCATGCCGATATGGTATAAAGTGCGAAGCCCCTTGATCGTGCGAAAGCATTAAATGGAACAGGCGAAAAAATTCGAGAGTGTCAACGAGACGGACTTGACCTTTCCGCCAGGCTGACGAGAGATAACACTTATTTCGACTAGGAATTAGGAAGCGGGTTAGTGTTGTTCCCCGACCTATCTCAACGTTTCAAACAGTTAGTTGGTCACGGACAATTATTTGTACAAGGTTGCGCGAGGTCTGAGGAATTAATTTGTATATTTTAAATAGCCAGCAACGTCGAACCGAGCCCGATAACTGTACATCACACGGTTGTATTGGATGTTCCATTTGCACTGATTCAGAGGGGAAGATAATATTATGTCTGCCAAACGAAAGGCCTCCGCTATTATCCAACATCACAAGGTAAAGTGGCATGTAGATTTTGTTTTTGTTGCTTGATTTGGGTTGCGGCAGGTGATGTGTGCAAGGAAAGGTCTATAAATAGTCGAAAAGGTAGAATTTTACTAAAATTCGCAAAAGACAAGACCGTTTCCCTGACATATTCGGAGATTCTCCGCAAGCAGAGTCGAAATGTTGATTGTAATTAAGATTGTACCGCTTTATTTGTTTTATTTTGCTTTAATTTTGCGTAGAATGAGTCTGTTTATTTGAATATTGCAGTTTATTTGTAAAGAAAACAGTAAGTGTAAGTAGTACTACTATTTTGGAGTTAGTGGTGGGGGTAATTCATTCAACAGTTCAAGGAAAGCATGGACGTATGTCATTTATGAATTTGAAAAGTTAATTGAACACACTGGATCAGAATTCTTTCATAATCGTTACAATTAGCGATTTGTAAAGGGAATGAATTGAATTAGATGCTACACATTTGTAAACTGTTTTTGTATTTTACAATAAAATTGCCTTTTCTTAGTGATGCCATGTCCTACATACTGTATTTTACAAAAATTACATTGCGTTTATCTTTAGTCTCTTGTTGGAAAATTTCTAAGTACATATTTCTAAACAAAAAATTTTGTTTGACTTGAATTATTGAAATATAGAGAAAAATTCGTCATTCCGAAATGTTAACGGTTGACATTGGTCGTTTTGACCATTTTTGACAGATCACTATTGAACTACGTAATCATTATTTAAAATGTTTAATTGTTGTAAAACATGTATGGATATTTCATGAAAGAATAACTTTAAAATAGATTTAAATAGAAGAAAATGTATTTTTTGAAACACTACCATTCATGTACTTCGAATTTTGCGTTCCTTTTTTGTTGGGACTTTTTTAGAAAGATATATCCTCCAAAATCGTTTTCAGTCCCTGCGTTCCGATCCCATTTTTTACTCGCGAATTTTCGCGCTGAATCAGCGGCAACATGGCAGTACCCTGTGGCTGCCTCGAAGGTTGGGCAACCAACATACAAACTGCTCACCTTGGATGTTGAACATTATTTTTAACTTCACTTCCCCGCACACCGGTTATTCAATAAGTGCATAATCGATAGATGAATATTGATCAGTCAACAAAAACATCAAATATAAACGGAGTTTTGCATATTTATGTCTAAAATGAATTTTAAATAGAGCGATAAAGTGTGCATGCAGCTGTTTACGGCGGTTACGTTGCGGTAAGATATTTTTCAACGTTACGGTCATTCTCAAACTACGACGAGAGGAGGTCGAATTACTCTTGTTTCGCCTGATATCTAGCAGCGAAATTAATCATCGACCTCGATCTTTACGTATACCATATACTTCCCTTACTAATTAGTCGAACGCATTGTCCAAAGTGCATTATTATTGTTTGCAGAAAAGTGGACAAATTATATGCTAAAATATTTTGGAATCGATACAACACTGATTTTCTAATAAAGTGTTTTTTTTTTTAATTTCATTCAATAACTTAACTAAATCCAAGAAAACCTCATATAAAATTCAAAGATATTTTTTTGAATAAGTGCCTCGAAGTCCCTTAAATATCACTCATTTTTCATTTAGTCCTACTAGATTGATTCGACCCTTTCAAATTCTAAATTAAGTTTTATTACTTGCATTTTTAGCTGAAGTTTGAGAAAAAGGAAATATGTGTTACACACCACCTAAAAAGCAGTTAATTCCAATAAAACTTGAAAATTACATAATTCTAGCTGACTAACAGAAATGATTTCACATTTGATCTGCCATTATTTCTCACTTCAAAATTCCTGAATGTTATAAGGATATATGAACGAACAACACCTTAATACTTATAACATCACAAATTTATTCAATAAATTTTAATATGACTAACGTCGGTTTTTTGTTGAGGAAATGGCTACTTCAAACCTAATTTAGTGTTATTCGGTAGCGCTGACCGCTGTGATTATATTTTACATCATTTCCCCAATGAAATACCTGTTAAGTTGATTAGAGAGAAAAAATGGTTAGTCAGCAACACAGGGTACGTCGTGGGAAACAAGACTGATAATAACCATGGTTTTGAAAAGATCAGTACCGCTTTCTTAAAAAATCATGATCGTTACATAAATATTCAATTTATTGTAAATCAGAGATTCTTGAATTAAATAATTTGAAAAAACAGTACTGCATTCAATATTTTTTTCTACTGCCGATAAATAGATGTTATGATTAGGCTTAGTGCGGCGCGGAGTTTAACAGGACCGTAGTCAGATTACGAATGAAAACATTAATATGTTTACAGAAAATATGTCGCTAAATAGTACTATTACCAAAGAGCAAGGCTAAGTAGAGGATAAAATACCTATGCATAAATTTAAATGACACCACTTACCCGATAAACCTTAGCGTTGAGACAAGGCTTCCGTGGCATATTGGAAGGAGTTAAACATATTACTACGTGCTTTTCTAAGTTTTCTTTAGTGAAAGGACAAGATTTATCACTTAATATTAACTTCTTTAGGGAAAATGACAGTTCAACGTCTACTGTTGACATCGGACAGTATGAGAAATAGTTGGGGCACGATATTAATATATTTGCTGGTAACTCCTGATATGTACCAGATAAAACTTTACATATGTTTTCCAAAATGGTGTATCCTGAATTTTTTCCAACACTGCATTTTTTTATCGTACTACTGACTGGGAGTATATTATTGGCAAGACGACACTAATTGTAACAAGATTTCACAGAGTTGCCAACTTAACATATCTAGTTACTTACCAAAGTCAGTTTAATATCAAAGTGGTGTCGCGGGAAAATTTAAAATACTTTGTAGGTAGTTCTCATTAAATAAAATAATGCTAAACTAATTAAATGAAAGCATAATGACACCCAACAATAATAAATTAAGCGTAAAATTTTGTGGTACTTTTTCTTGTTTTTATGTAAATGTAGGAAAAATTAATTGTATATCACGATCTTATATTTTCCACAAATACTAATTTTAAAATCACAAAAAGTCATCTGCTAAACTACTAATTTTTACCAAGTTATAATACTTAGTATTATATTGTTTAGTTTATTTTGCTAAATAGGTTTATGAAAGGTAAGTGAATTGGTGCAATCCTTGAGTGCAATAAGTATTAAAGACTAAAAACTTTCACTGAAATATTGAGAGAATATTTCAATCAACACCAAAATATTTTTTTAGGTTAGAAAGAATACACAAGGTATATTTTTTTACCGTGGCAATATTCCTTAATGATTATCTTAATTCTTCACTATCACTTTCTTTAAGTTTTCTATAATCCATAAACTATTAAAAAATAAACAAACGAACCTTATTTAAAGTGAGGTTATTTTACCTCCACCAGAAACTCGTGAAACTCAATTGATACCAACTATATTTAAACAATAAAATTTGGTAAGCAACTAAATTCTAGTTCGACTTATATTGGCAACATTGCGAAATCTTGTTACAATTAGTGTCGTCTATTATTGGCATCGCATATATTTCTTTGTACATCATCCATTATATCAAATTGTTCATTTAGGGATACTCCATGTGATTCCAATTTACAGAATTAGGGAACCTGCGGTTCTCTAGTTTGTTTAATGGAATACTTCAAATGACCTTGACAAAGTGGAGGTCAAAGACGAATCGAAGATCGTGATTGAGTACCTTGATGTAAATCCCATCGATTCTGCAGGTCAACATCTTATTCCGAGGCTGCTTCAAGGGTGACGAATCAACCCGTTGTGACCTTGACCTTGACCACAAGGTCAAAGTTGTGATCACATCCGGATGTAAAATTTTCTGCTGAATCCATTTCCAAGGTTAAAAGTAGGGGGTCCCATTTCAAATTCCGAAGTTAACCTTCAATTGACCTTCAAGGTGAGGTCAAGGTCAAATCCTAGGTAAGCAGGTGGTTTCCCCCAGTGAACTGAACAACTTTTACTGTAGGCCATTTTTCGATTAGTGGCTTCTCTGACGAGATATTTACGTGTATCAATTAAATAAAATTGTATACCCGGTATACAAGGTACGTTTCAAAGTAAACAGGACTTTTCAAAATAGGTATTTTTAATGAGGCCATTACATCCGTGGGAAAGGTAGATCCTTCTCTGATGTACTTTCAAACTTTCATGATATTTGAACGAATAGAAGCAGAGTGATTGCGTCTGAAATGACAGTATGTTTGTGTCGTCGCGCGTCGGTACAAAAATGTGCATCAAACAAAGAGCTTATATTAAGTTTTGTTTTAAACTTTTACGGAAACGTTTCAATTAATGGACGAAGTTTATGGTGATTATTGTTTGTCCCGGGGCAGAGTTCATGGGTGGTATATGCGGTTTAAAAACGGTCGTGAGGACATAAATGTTAACCGTCCATCAAAATTATGTGTCATCAAACGTCAGCCAAATTCTTCATTGAACTTCATGGAATTGGAAGTATGAGCATCTCAAAAGCATCGACCAAACTTTTAAACTACCAAAAAATGTGCACACTGTTTGTTCCGCACAAATTGACTAACGACCAAAAATTACTCAGAATTTAACATTCGAAGGATATCATCAAGGAGGCCAAAAAGGACAAAAACATTATCATTAATTAGTAGAATATTTGTATGCATTCATATATATTTTTTTGGCTATCTATGTTGTATCAATATGACTAGCCAAAACCCACCAAGAAATCTCGTTTGGAGAAATCAAAAGTGAAGACAATGTTGATTTTTTTGTACGATTTCAAGAGTGTTCATTCCACTGGGCATTGTCGTAGGTAGGAGAGCGGAGGGGCAGAAAGCTCGGTGGGGACCGCAGGAAAAAAAAAAGATGTAGTCCGTATTCGCCTTTCGCCTGATTTGATGCCGTGCAACCTTTACCTTTTCGGAAAAATGCATCTGTCGATGAAAGGAAAGCGTTTTGTGGACATAGACGCCATCCAAAAGGTTTGTACAAACATCCTAGAGGAGATTCCAGCCAAAAACACTAATTGGACGTGTTT